CACAGCAGCACCGCTGGAAGGCTGTTGGGATCCTTGAGAGGGGCAGCCTAGCAGGAAGTCCTGAGGTCACTGGGGCCCTGCCCCCTTCTCTCTCATGCTTCTTGGCTCATAAATCAAGCAGTCTGTGCCACCACCCACTCCTGCCATTGTGCAGCCACTTGACCTTGGACTGGAGCTCCAGAACTATGAACTAAACAAACCTTTTCCTTCCTAACTGCCTCAGGTGTTTTGCTACAGTAACTTGAAGCTGATGACTGGAAAAGCACTGGCTCTCTGGCAGATGCATCCCCTGAGTGTAATTGTTTCCTCTCCATGGGATCCCCTGACCTGGGAGGTGCTACAAGGAGCCAGGACAGGAAGAAAAGGAAGCATAGCTGGGGCCACTCAGCTGGGTCAAGGGCTCCCTGGCCCATCATCTGCAGAGGCCCAAGTGCCAGGGAGCCTGTTCCACAGGGCTCTGTTCCCTGGGGACTTCTTTCCCCTTGGTACTCACAGCAAAGGGTAAAAACAAAGTATTTCTTTGAGACAGCTGTTAGACTGGTGATGTAACAAATCATTTGCATTTATGCAAATTACATGATTATGTAAATTACAGTAACATTTCAATACAAGCAAGTGACAGGGCTGCTGGGATTTGGAGAAAGGTCAGGACAGAGAGGCTCAAATACCCATGGGGCAGGAGAGAAGGTGTGGGCAGCCGCGGTGACCCTTGGACATCTGTCTGTGGGCCTGCTGCGAGGACGTGCACAGGCAAGCACTGCAGGGAACCCAGAACACCCCGGGCCTAGTGTGGGTGACACTTCCTGGCCGGATGCTTGGGTGGGCTGTGGGAGGGTACCAAGAGGCCCGTACTTTATGTTTTGAAATTCTAATTGCTTTAGACAATGATCCATCTTAATTTCTTCTTTTTCTCCTGAAAAAATACAAATCAACTAGAAAATAGCGTACAGTAAACTTTAGGTGAAACCTCCATACTCCAGTGAGTTGAGCCCATGACTCTACAGGAGCAGCATTCAGCCACGTGGGCTGTGGAATGCACACGAGTGTGTCACGCCTGGGGCTGTATTTTCCAGCCTACTCATGTCCCCTCTGCGTCTGTGCTGGACCCTGGTACCAAGGATGCTGACAGCATCTCCAGGCTGCCCTGCACGCTCTGGCCTCAGTGTCTCTGGAGGAGCTGTATCACCTGCTAGGTGCATCTCCAGGCCACGTGCTTGTCCCTGGCTTCTCTGCGTGACTCTCAAGGGCCTCGTGATGGGGATGTCTATAGAGGCGGCAGCTGGTCCCACTTACTCGGGACTCGCCCTGCGGGCGAAAGAGCTCTTTATTGTACAACCTCAGGGGACCAATAATCACGCCTTCTGAACATTTTAGAGCCATGCAACGGGGAGAGCATTAAAAAAAAAAACTCTAAAAGTCAAATAAATTGGGAAGGTTGGTAATTATTTGGAGGGTAGGAGGAAGGGCTTTTGAAAAAAGGAATTTTAAATGCTTAAACGCCTGTGGCAGTGTCCAATAGAGAAGCTTAGCGTTATGTAAGGAAAACCAGAGGGAACCTGATTTTGTTACCTTGACATTTGGGGACAGAGAAGAGAATAAGAAATCTTGACAAAAAGCTGCAGGGTGTGCGCAAGTGGCAGCCCGAGGCTGGCAGGGAGCGGATGTGGGGATTCTGCAAGCCACTTCAGTAAGCATGGTGTTTCTGTGGGGTTGAGGTCTGGGGTGAAAATGAGCACGGGACTGGAGCCACCAGTTAGCAGGGTCAGCAATGGGGCACATGCACAGAAGCCGGGAATCAGACAGTCTGAAGCTGCTTGGGTTGCCTCGATCTCTTCCCCTGGGAGTCTCAAAATTGACTCTGAAATTATCTCTGCACAGCCACAGAGGGCAACCCCGAGGAGCAGGTTTATGACATGATTAAGGCTGTGTTTCTCAGAAGCCTTGCAGTGCTACAGGCATCAGATACCCTGGGGCCTGGGGAGATGCAGGTTTAATGAAATTTCCTGGGTCCCACCTAGAGCCTGTATAATAACCCTGGACTCTTGATTTTTTTGCTTTTAGTGGTACTGGGGATTGAACCCAGGGTCTTAGCACTAAGCTACATCACAATCTTTAATTTTTTTATTTTGAGACAAGATCTTGCTAAGTTGTCCAGGCTTGGCTTGAGCTCGAGATTCTCCTGCCTCAGCCTCTCAGAGTGCTGGGGTTACAGATGAGCACCATCATGCATGGCTTAGGTTCTGCATTTTAAATAAGCTTCCCGGGCACACAGAAGTTGGAGAAAAACCCACTGAAGTGACAAGGACCAAGAGCTAGGCCAGAGGGCCAGAACCTGAGCTTTTCCATTGCTTCTTAACAACAGAAAAATGCAATTATCCTCAAAATCACAAAGCCTAGCTTAGAGAAGTGTCTGTAGATACATGGTCCAAATCTCCAGGCCATGGCAAAGGCTCCCTTGACACTTGTGGTTCTGTGTGCAGGAAATCTGGAGCTGCTGGGTGCCTCATACTGAGCCGGCTCATCTCTGTGACTAGAGTGACACACCTGAGGGCAGAGATGGCTCAACCACGAGACCAGGATTGGTGAGCAAGCCAAGCCTCTGTGCATCTTCACACATCACTGGCAATAGTGACGTTTAACTAGCTTGGAGAGGTCTGGATCAATGGGACAGAAGACAAGTGATCTCACACCCAGGCTGGGAGGCACCCCGCTGGCATGGACGGTGTCGCTGTTGGATGTAGGTGCTGCTGAGTCTGTGCTTGGAGGAGACCTTGACCTTCTCTGCTTGCTTTTATCACTTTGTCTTTATGAGCATTGTCATCCTTTTCTGGAATTTAGGAAGTTTCCCACTTTTGTTCATTTACTTGGTCCCCTCATCTTGTCTTGAAAAAAAAAAAAAATTTTCCCAAATTATTCAAAGGTCTTCTAAAAAGGCAGAACAGCAGAGTGCTTGTTTGTTCAACAATTTTTCCTCTTTCTTTCTTCTCTTTTTCCTTTTCTTTTGCATTTTTGGAAGCTCTGTATCATTTCTAATTTTTTTTATTATTTTTCATTCTCTTTAATTGTTTGCTCAATCTTGCATTCTTACATCTGGTAGTCTGAGCAACTTAGCTGAAGATAACAATATGCAATATGACAACCATTGTTAATTTCCTATCATTTTGTTTTGAAATTCTGTATTGCTTTTGTGTTGCTTTTTTTTTTTTGTCTTGGTTGTTGTTGTTTTGTTACTTTTTTTCTCTTTAAAATATAAATAAAGGATAAAGTTCACTAGAAAGTGTCTGGGACAGGGTTGGGGATTTAGCTCAGTGGCACAGAGCCTGCCTGGCAAGCGCAAGGTAGTGAGTTCGATTCCTGGTACTGGAAAAAAAAAAAAAGAAAGAAAGTGTCTGGGACACCAGGCTGAGGCCAGGAGTCCCTGAGGTCAGAGGGCTCAGACCTCAGTCACAGGCAACAGCCGAGAATAGGAACCCAGAGTTTACATCTGTCCTAAGTCTCCTACCCAGGACTTTAAAAGATGACGCAGTTCTCAGTTCCAGCACAGTGTCCCAGGCCCTTCTGCTCTTGCAGTGGCTCTGGCCACCCCGGTTATTGATGTTTTAACCTGGGAGTTTTGGGGAACAAGGTCTGGAGTAGGTGCATCTCAATTTTCAGAGCACCCTGGTGATGGTTTGTAAACCAAGCTCTCCAATGCCAGAAACCAAAGTCCTTCCCTGGTTTGTTATGGAAAGTCTCGTATCAAATGCCATCTCTGCCTTGCTGGTACAGAGTTACAACAAAATTACTGCAGGTAAGTGCTCTGTGAAACAGGCAAGTAGATCCTCTAGTGAGTTTTGTCTTCTCTTGTACGTTAGACAACTAAAATCCAGAGAGACTGATTCCTCCAAGGCTATTAGAGCTAGGGAGAATGTGTATTAAACAGGGTTCCTAGATACACAGAATTAATATAATTTAATATGTTAATTGTGAGGTCTGAGTTGAGATTATTATGGAACCTGAAAGTCCCATGACCTGTTGTCTGTAAGAGTCAATAGCACACCTCCAACCCTAGCCCGAAGGCTTGGTCACCAAGCCCTAGTTCCAGTCCAAAAGCCCAAGGGCCAGGCATACCTGGTGCCTATTTTCTCCCCAAAGCCCCTCCATAGCCATGCTGAGGAGTTGGGTCTCCCTGCTGCTGCTACTGATCAGTTAGATGGGGGGACGAGTGCTCACAGGCATGCTTGGTAGTGACCTGGATGGCTCTGAGAATTGAGGGGGAGGGGACAAGTGGCAGCAGTGTTACTGCTTTGCAGCCACACCTGCCTTGACCTGCAGGACAGCTGCTGTGTCAGTTCAGGCCAGGGATGTGGAGTACCGTGAGGGGCTACCCTGAGGAGATTTTCACAAGATAGAAATTGACAGGACAGTTAAGCCAAGCAATATCATGGGAGTTGAAGAAAAGATTGACTTAATACCATTTCTAGGCTCAGGGGCTAGGGTGGGAATAGGGGCTGAGCTAAGGCAGAGGGTCCAGTCTCGGGGGACACATTGGATTTAGTTGGGGACATGTGGAGTTGAGCCATGATGATGTCTAGTAGATCTGTTTATCCCAGCTGGACCTTGGGGAGATGTCACTGCTAAGAATGCAACTGTGAGGTCATGGTGGGGGTGCTGCAAGGAGAAAGGGGGTGTCCCAGAAGGACTCACTGAGTGACAAGGGGAAGAGTGAGTTCTAAAGCTGGGGACCCTAGGCAGGGAGTCACAGTAGGGAGGGAATGGTCAGAGGGTGACAGATGCTCATGGACCCCAATCATCCAGGACAAAACTCCTGTGCAGAGCACCTAGCGCCTAGTGCTGTTAGTCCAGGTGACAGACAACAGGGTGAACGAAGAGCCACCTCCACCACGGACGGACGCTGGCTCATTCACCATCAGCATCCTTGAGTGGAGCTCAGGGTGCAGAAGCCACACACAGCCCTGGGGCCCAGAACACCGAAAGATGGACAGGGGACAGGGACTCACCACGATGAGAGCGACCACGGACAGTGTGTAGTAGATGGAGTCCCTCAGCAGGCACCAGGAGGACAGGGCTACCACCTAAAGGGACAGAGAGACAGAATGAGACAGGCGTCAGGCCGTGTGGATAGGACAGAGTGACTCCTGTGGCCCTGGCAGGTGATGAATCAGCGATACGGTCTCCTCTGTTTGCTGTGCTGGCCCCAACCCATCTGTCAAAGATCAGGCATTCATTGGTGGTCCGGGCAGCTGCTCCAGGTCCTCTGGGACAGGTACCGAGACAAGACTGAACCTCTGCAATCACAGTGGGGGAGACGGCAGGGACAGGAAATGGGGAGACCCAGGGAGCACCACCCACCTCACACAACTCGGGACAACCCCAAGCAGGCCGGATGTCCCAGGCTACGGGGCAGGCTGAGGAAGGGACAGCAAGGCTGAGGGGACCCTTGGTGCAGTTGCAAGTTGGTCTCAGCATCACTAACATCCACAGACTTTGTTCATGTGTGACTAAAGAGTCTGCTCCCCCCCACCACAAGGCCTCCTGAGCGGCGCCCTTAGCTGGGACAGGGAAGCTCTGTGCAGTCCCTCTGGCCCTCCCGCTCCATGTCTGGTGTATGCCTGGCCTTGTTGGCACTTGCCCCCTGGTTTAGTCAGAATTAAATCAATTTGCCAGTGATTGGGAAGAAATGTTAATCTTAGCAGCTGGGATATCTCCTTACAGAGAGGCTAGCTTTGCCAACAGGCACACTGCTGAAGGCTAAGAGAGCTAGGGCAGCAGGAGGACACAGCCCATGTGTACATTAAAGAGGGCCAGGCGCACACTTGTAATCCAAACTCGCTGGGAGGCCAGGGCAGGAGGACTGCAAGATCGAGCCCAGTCTGGGCACCTTAGTGAGGCTCCACCTCACAATACAATATGAAAACCTGGAGATGCAGTTCAATGCAAAGGCCCCAGGTTCAATCCTCAGTATCCGAAAGAAAATAAAATTAAAAAAAAAAAAAAAAGAAAAAGAAAAACAAAGGCCCAAATAGGGCCCTACAGAGAGCTTGTGTGAGCTGGGTAGATACGAGTACCCTGCAGGAAGAGTAATTTCCTGGTAAATCTGTCAAAGTCTCTTCTCAAGGGCTACCTCATAGCCTTCCTTTGTGCACAGAGGAGGTCCACTAGGCCAGGCTGGTACAAAGGTGTCTGGGAGGGTCACAGAGCCAAATCAGTGGCTGTCACCAGGCTGTCACTCTCCCTCGCCCAGAAAGCTCACTACCCCATGGCCATGGGATAGTGGTCTGGCTGCCTTTGCCCTTGGCCCAGTAAGTGACAAACACACAGCAAATGTTACACTCTAGGGAGGGCCAAGGAGGCACATGTTGTGCCAGACAGGAAAAGGGTCCAGGACAGGGCAGTCTTCTGCACCCCTGCTGTCTGCTCGCTGTGCCATCCATGAAGCCAACCAAGAAAGCTCTCTGCTCTGGAGTGTCATGAAAGACTTCTGAGGCTTCCACAGAACTGCAGATGGAGATCAAGGCAGTCTCTGTCCATTGCTGCACTCTTCCGCTCATTATGCCAACACTTAGGGGTTTTCTACTTTGCTCCATTAGCCCTGGCTTTTGCAGATCTGCTACTGATGCCAGGGTTCCTAGCAGAGGACTCACATTGCAAATATTCTCCAGCCTTTTATCATTCTTTCCCTGTACTGTAAACTCTCAGAACCTGCGGGCATCACTAGCCATCTATGGAATAAGTTAAACTACGTCGCTCATTTGCCAGCAGGTCACAAAAGGTCTTGAATATTTATTCAATTTATTCTAATCAGACAAACTAACTTACAGCATGTGGCAAATACCAGTTCTGAATTATTTTAACCAATCACTTGGGCTTTTAGTTACAGGTAGTAGATTGAATATACACCATTGCTGTTGTTGTATTATACCAAGATAACAGTAAAGGAAATTTTAAGAACATGACATAAACCCTCAAGCCAAAAAGAATAGATGAGCACAGCAACAAAATTTTGGAAGCCAGGAATCAGAAGTGGCAGTGAGGGAAATTCTGGCAGTGGGGCTAAGATGGTCCCCAAAATAGGACAACTGAAGACTGTTTACGAATTTAATGCCCACATTTCCTTCTTCATCTCAAGGAGCTCAACTACTGCTGATCACATCCCTCACTTTAACAGAAAACAAGAGGTCCAGCAGCAGAAGCTACAGAAAACAGAGAAAACATAGGGAAGAAACAATCAAGGCAATCAGGAGCAGTTCCTGCAATTTAAGGATTTCTGCATTTTCAGAGTCAAAGCAAACACACAAGACCTATGCAAGACACATAGTCACAACTTTTCAGAATTTTGGAACAAACAACAATCATTAAAAACCACAAGAGAAAAAGGGAGAGAGAAAAATGTTTCTATAAAAACAATCAAAATGAGAATGACATTTAATTTCTCAATGATGATATATATTCTGAAAGCTAGAAGAAATTGGGTAATGCCTTCAAAGTTACAAAAATGACTTCAGCCTGAAGTTATACGCCCAACCAACTTATTAATTAAAAGTGAGAAGTGAATACATATAAAAGTTTAGTTACCTTACAAAATTTACCCCCATGCACCCTTTCTGAAAAAGTTACTAGAGGATGTACTCCACCCAAAAAAGAGGATAAACTACTTGACACATACCGTGCTAAAATAAACCACAGTACTTGGAGGCTAGAACCTGTAATAATGAAAACAAATTTACAGAATAAGAGTGAAGGGAGGTTGTAGAAAGAAGGTAGAAAGACATTCTAAAATAAAACTTCTACAGAGGCTTAATGGGCAACCTAATCAGACTGGAACAGAAGACTTCAGAAGTAATGCCAAAGGCAGAAAATTGATGAAATTTCTGCTAATTTTGAGCCTATAGAGAGGAGGTTAAAGAGCTCTAGTAACAGAAGAACATAGAAAACTAAGCAAACAAACAAATAAAACATGCAATTATAAACCATGAAGGGAAGCACAGAACTATGCCTAAAAGATGAACCATTGCATACCAGTGGTCACAAAATCAAAATAAATTAAGCAAACTATTATTTTATTAAACTTGTGATAAAATTATTTAAGAATATGTTATGGTTTGTGTCTGTGTGTCCCCCCAAAGCCTCATGGGGTCATGGGGCAGGCTTTTAGAGTTCGATTGATTATGGGTGTGAGAGCTACATCTTCCCTGGGGTGGATAGTTTGCATACGTAAGGGAGAGCAAGAGGCTGCTTGGGGCCATTTCCTGGCTTTTGTGCCTGTTGCTTTGCTGTGTTCTGCACCATGAGCTGCAGCCCTCTGCCATGTGCCACTCTGCCTTGTAATCTGCCAAGTAAGGAATGAAATCTCCACAAACTGTAAGCGAAATAAACCTTTCCTTCTTTAATTTTGGGCCTCAGGTATTTTGTCCCAGCAACGAGAGAAAAGTAACCAAGACAGAATTATGGAGTTTGAGTGGGGCTAAAAGAAAGCTGAATTTTCCACTTCATACCGTGAAGGCAATGGAACATACTTGCAGCTGAAAAAACAGATAGCTGTTGTCTAAGCAGGTATAGAGCGACTAAAGCAAAGGTCAAGCAAGTGGAAAGGTGTTGCCACAGAAGAGTGGCACCACTGTGGTGGCAGGACCAGAAGGTAGCCGATTTCCATAATAAGCCTTCCAGAACTGGTTGCCTCTTTAAGTTCTGCATCTATATAAATTTAATAAAAAATAAGAAAGGGAAGTATAAGAACTGTGTACTTAGATCTACTGCTTCAAGAAATATATCTCAAAAGACAAAAAATGAACAAACCAAAAAAGAAGAGAAATATACCTCAGAATAGACGTAGGTGTCAGATATGAGTGGATGGTGATATATTTTCTCTCATTATACACAGAATTATTTTTGAACCCCAGAAGCCTGGGTGTTAGGTCCCTGAGCCTACACACTGTACCACAGTACCTCAGTGGTAGCAGGAATGAAAACCAAACACTTCTCTGTGTTTTTTTTTTTCCACCATTACTTTAAACCGTTAGGACAAGGATATTAGAGGTTATAGCCAAGAGGGGAGTAATTGAAGGGTGAGAGAATAAAAAACCTAATGGCCACAGTTAAATGTATTTTTTATTTTTTTACTATGTTCTTTTTTTGGTACCAGGAATTGCACTCAAGGCCTTGCACTTGCCAGGCTAGTTGCACTGCTAATCTACATCCTCAGTCCCACAGTTAAATTTAAAAACAAACTGCTTTAAGTAGATTCAGAGAAAGCAGTCAAAGCAGGAAGGAATTATGGTAAAGACTGTACATATGGATATGGCTATATTCCAGGAGGTATGGATATATTCTAGGAGAAACTGAGTGAGTTAAAGAAACACTGGAATTACTTATCCATTTACCTGATTTTTAAAGACAAACATTGTGTCATTGTTTGAGAACTAAATGTTTCACTTTTCTATAACACAAATAGCCCCTGCTATGTGGTCTACATGTTTCCCTTTGCTTTTCAGAGAGGAATCTTTTTAAAGAAATGTAAAACATCTACGTGGAGGTTGTAACTACCTGACTGAGACCCTGGGCATATGTCCTGCCAGAGAGGCACCTGCTGGCACCAGAGTGGGAGGTCCTTGGTATCTCAGTAGGTTGGTGAAACTGCAGCTCATGTTTCCTTGCATTTTGCAAAATGATAACAAGAACAAAAGGGGAGTCACTCTGAAGCAGGGAACAGATGAGGCATCCAGAAGGAAAGCAACAGTGGGTAATTTTTGCTCTGGACCACATGGATTGATAATCCAGATGACGCGGATTCCAAAAAGCCATCCATCAGCAGATCCCTCCACACACTCAGACAAAGTCTGCTCTAGGAATCCCTCTGAGTTGGAATTTCATCTCGGTATTTCTTTTTCTATTTCCAGAATGCATTTCACACATTCTCTATTGAATATGCAGTTTAAGTTTCCTTCCCATAATTTCATTTAGTTTCAGGGTGACATTATGCAGAAAAAAAATTACACTTCCAAAACAGAGGAAAATACATTTTTCTCTGTTCTGGAATTCTGGCTCCTTCTAGGAGATTAAAAATAATTATTTATGA